GGACTGGGCACTTGACCACCAAGCCTCCCGAATCCCTAAGCGAGCCGAGTGCTCTGGTCTTGGACATTCGGGGTGCAATCGGCTTGCCGGCCACTCCCAACATCACCTCAAAACGAAACTCCATGTCTCGCAAGGTCCATGGGGTCCCTCCTCGTAGGCAGTGTTGTTGCAGTGCGTGTGCTGCTTGCCGTGACCCGGCTCGTGGTTACACCAACCGCCGAAGTAGCCTCGGCTTTTTTGGGCCTAGAGGGCTTGCAAGACCTTCTTTAAAGGCCTCTGAGAGCCCAACCTTCGTGAGACCCCGATCTAGTTCGAGGAGATAAGAGGGCATTGGCCTCGCTGTGTTTGGGGTGTTGAAGGCACATACGTCAACGAAGCCGTTTTGGATTGACCGCGCAACCCCCACATGCAAGAAAAAATCCCCGTAGACTTGGCCCAGGCAACCCAGCACCCCCCAAGTAGAGTAGGGACTCTTCCTCACACTACAATTACAGGAATCCTGGCTCCGAGTTTCGGCGTCCTCCTTACGCAGTGGATGTCGGATATTGGGCTTCGTGGGCACACCTGGCGCCTTTGAACTCCTAAGTTCCTCCCTCCGACAGCCCCCTACACCCTCAACCCGTAAACCCCCAAACTCCTCCAAGCCAAGCCTTTGGCTACCGGGTGGCTGGCAACGAAGTAGGCAGCTGCCTCGCACTCACCCAGGCAAGGGAGGGCTTTGGGGTCTGGCCTCTTGCCGGTTTGAAGTCTACAAACCTCTAGAGACCCTAAACACTGGGACCCTAGAATCTGATTAACGTTGATCGATTCTTGGGTGATGGGTGGGGGGGAATGATCTGCTGGGGGAATATGTCAGACAGCACACGAAGCTCTGAATTCGAAGTTTGAAAGGGGCATGGTCGGTCGGCCCATCTTATGGAAAGGGAGTAGCCTAAAACAACGGGCTGAAACCCTAAACCCTAAACCCCCCAGGCTCAACCCCTAAACCCACGAAGGTCCTGAACCTTGGCTTCCCAAAACCCCCCCGTACACTTCCCGAAGCCTTATCCCCGAAGCCCCCGAGACTTCCCTGACTCAACCCCCCAAAACCTAAGCATTTACAAAACTACCCTAAACCCCCCTAAACTCCGCAGGCTGTAAACCTAACACCTAAACTCCCGCAAGCCCTACACCCTAAACCCTAAACCCCAAACCCTAAACCCCAAACCCTAAACCCTAAACCCTAAACCCTAAACCCCTCGTTTCAGATTTAAAGAGACCTTTAAGGAAGCTTAGGGCTGAGGGACGATCTACGCCAAGTTTGGGGGGAGTCTCGGGTTTAGGGTTTCGGGCTTAGGGCTTAGGGTTTAGGGTTTAGGGTTTAGAGTTTAGGGTTTAGGGTATAGGGTCTAGGGTTTAGGGTTTAGGGCTTAGGGTTTAGGGCTTAGTGTTTAGGATCGAAAGGAACCCTATTCAGGCCTTCGGATCCCCCGTGGCATAGGTGTGCTTGCGGACATACTGGAATTTCGACTCCGGGGCGGCGGCTCTGGCGCCGGGCAGGGGCCTTTGACTGCGTGCCAGGGGAGGCATTTTTGGGAGTTAAGGGGTTTAGGGATTTAAGGGTTTAGGGGTTTAGGGGTTTAGGGCTTTAGGGGTTTAGGGGTTTAGGAGTTTTGGGCTTAGGGTCGTACTGGACCCCGGCTCTTTCTGAAGACTTCGGCATGAGGAAACAGCATTCGGCTCTTGCGTCATCCTGTGACAGGATGCACCTAGAAAGGGACGTTGCGAGCTGAGCCCTAAACCCTATACACCCTAAGCCCGAAACCCGAAACCCGAAGCCCCAAGCCCCAAGCCCTAAGCCCTAAGCCCTAAGCCCTAAGCCCTAAGCCCTAAGCCCTAAACCCTAAACCCTAAACCCTAAACCCTAAACCCTAAACCCTAAACCCAAACCCGAAACCCAAAACCCTAAAGCATCAGCCCACCTCGGACTGCCCCGGGAGTGCAGCTCCTCCTGAATGGCCGTCAACGCCTCCTAGGCTCTCGAGGGGCCAAGACTCAACTCACCCTCTAAACCCTAAACCCTAAACCCTAAACCCTAAACCCTAAACCCTGAACCCTGAACCCTGAACCCTGAACCCTGAATCCTAACCCGGAACCCTAAACCCTGAATTCCTAGACTCTTGACGCCTAAAGCTCTTGTCGGGTCTCCAGCCGAATGAAATCTTAGGGTATGGTCTGGGAAAGCAGTCGAAGAGGGCGCCCTTCAGGATTTTGGGGTTTGGGGCTCAGGGAGCTTCAGGTTTTAGGGTTTAGGGTTTAGGGTGTTCAGGGTTTAGGGTTGAGGGTTGTACTGTACGGTTGTACGGCCTAAAGGGCTTAGGGATTCCACCTCTCAGGTTTCTTGTTGGGGGGGAGGGGGGAGGGAAAGAGGAACCCTAGTTTTGGGAGGCTCCCGAAGGTAAGATGCGAATTTGTGTAGGGCGTGGGCATATCAAGGTTTCGATTGAACGACCCCGATCCTCCGATGTTGTAATACGATGATGATAGTACTACAATGACATATTCTATCACAACAATCGCAAACTCCTACCGGTGCCATGATCATACTACAGCCCAGGCGTCCGAGAGCTCACTCTCGGCCCAGAGGCCGAAATTCGCCAGGTACCCCGGCGCGGCGGCCCTGGCCAGCAGGGGCGGTCACCAGCTCTTACGGCCAACTTCCTTCGTTGGCAGCTTTGCCGAGCGATTTTTGGGGCTCCATTAAGGTTTCGGGCTTTATGGCAAGAGCGCCCTCACTGCCCTGAAGGCCTTGGTACATCCTTCTCACGTTTCTGGTTTACGAAGGTGCCCCCCCCCCCCTCCCCCAACCCCTGACCCCTGAAGGCCTCCAGCCAGAGACGTCCGCCAGCCTCCCACAGTGCATGGGCACAACCCCAGATAGTGATGGCAACCTATGGCATGAAACCTTACATACCTCTCTTGAACAAACCAAACCGCGAAACGACCTTCACCCCGTGATAGCCCGCACTTGTGCACAAAAACTTGCCCCCTGCACGATTATGCCCTTACGCCTCCCACCCCCAACCCTGAAACCCTGAAGCCCTGAAACCGTAAACCCCAAACCCCGCAAACCCCCCCCCCCCAAATCCGAAACCCTCAAGCCCCGAAACCCCTAAATCCAGACCCTGACCCCTAACCCCCCCAAAAAAACGTAAGCCCTAAACCCTAAAACCCCCAAAAAACCTAAACCCTAAACCCTAAAACCCCCCAAAAAAACCCAAACCCCAAACCCTAAAATCCCCAAAAACCCAAACCCCAAACCCTAAAACTCCCAACAGAAGCTCCTAAGCCATGAACGCATCTCCAGAGCCGAGCCTCCTTGCGCCCGGCGCACTCGGTTGGCACACCAGCGCCTCTCTTCGTGTACAGGGTCGGTCAAAGGAGGAGGGGGGGGTTCATCGAGAAGAGGGGGGGGGGGGAGGAGGTAGCTATGCATTTTTCAGGGAGGTGTCAAAAGGGTTGGGGTTTAGGGTTTAGGGTTTAGGGTTTAGGGTTTAGGGTTTAGGTTTAGGGTTTAGGGTTTAGGGTTTAGGGTTTTTAGGGTTTAGGGTTTAGGGTTTAGGGTTTAGGGTTTAGGGTTTAGGGTTTAGGGTTTAGGGTTTAGGGTTTAGGGTTTAGGGTTTAGGGTTTAGGGTTTAGGGTTTGGATGCAGGGGGGGGTGAGGTATGTAGGGAACCTTCGGGGCACCTTGGGTTACGTACCAGCTTCTTGTGAAGACTCACCCGCCGAAGATACGAAATGTTTTCGAACACGGTCTGGTAAACTCCTCAACCCTCAACCCTCTACACCCCCAAACCACAAGAAATCCTCTAAACCCTCAACATTCAATTGTCAAACTCTGGACCCTCAAACCCTCAAGCCCCAAACCCAACCCTGAACCCTCGAACCCTCAAACCCTCACACCCTCAAACCCTCAAACCCTCAAACCCTCACACCCTCAAACCCTCAAACCCTAAACCCTAAACCCTAAACCCTAAACCCTAAACCCTAAACCCTAAACCCTAAACTCTCCAGAAGCAGATCCGAGTCTCCACAAGGGCACCCAGGGCAAAGGCCAGTGTGGTGGTGGCAAAGCGACCCAGCTCCATGTTTGGGGTTTGGGGTTTGGGGTTTAGGGTTTAGGGTTTAGGGTTTAGGGTTTAGGGTTTAGGGTTTAGGGTTTAGGGTTTAGGGTTTAGGGTTTAGGGTTTAGGGTTGAGGGGGTAAGGTTTTACGGTTGTGGCCGGGTTTGGGGTTAATTCGGGGTGCAGGCTTTAGGGTGCTCGGGCTTAGGGTCAAGAAACCCGATGAGGGATGAGGTCAACAGCAGCGCATGCCCTGGAGCCGACAGGCATGCCTTTTGTGGGCCTAATAATAATCATAACAATAATAATAATAATGACAATAACAACACTAACAATAACAATAACAATAGCAATAACAATAACAAAAACAATAACAATAACAATAACAATCACAATCACAATAACAATAACACTCACACTCACAATCACAATAACAATAACAAGTACAACAGCAATAACAGGGTTCCTGGGCTTTAAGGATGCAGGCTTAGGGATAACTCCCCTCAACCTTGAACCCCAACCCCAATCCCCAAACCCAAAACCCTAAACCCTAAACCCTAACTGTATAGGGCTCCCTTTGACATTCAACAGAGACCTAGGGGGAAAAAATCGACAAGGGCAAAAGAGAACCTAACCCTAGCCCCGAAGGTTAGATTCCATCATATCAGAGTCATGCGATTCGCGCCTACCAGGCTCAAGGCTCCCCAGACAAACCCTAACATTGAGAGCATAGACCACGATACCCTCTGAAGCTATGGTTTAGGGTTTAGGGCTTAGGGTTTAGGGTTTAGGGTGTAGGGTTTAGGGTTTAAGGCTTAGGGTTTAGGGTTTAGGGTTTAGGAGCCATGCGAGTAAGCCATATGGAGCCCTACACCCTAAACCCTCTTGGCTCCCGGCCATCCCCGGCCATTTCTTGTTGCCCTTGTACGACATGGCTCACAGAGTGTTGCTTTGACCCGTTCGCCTTTCAGCCCAACCACGAGGGAAAGAGGCCTAAAAATCGAGTGCTGCGGGTGCTGAGATGCCCCCCCCCCCCCAAGTCTGCGAAACGCCAACCTCTTGAGGCAAGTGTGGGCTTCATCCAGCGGATCTTTCCTGGCACTTCCGAGCCTCTTGTCTCCAAATGGGTCCTACCATGCCTGTTGGTGTGCAGCTGTGGATCGGCCGATGCTGGAAAGTCTGAAAGCAAAAAGGGTCGCGGGATGTCGTGGGGCGCGGCAATCGCGGACCCACAACTTAGAGGTCCCTCTGCTGTGCAAGGCCCTAAACCCTAAACCCTAAACCCGAAACCCTAAACCCTAAACCCTGAACCTTACAAACCCTAAACCCTAAGAACAGGCGTGGCCGCTTGCAGCGGCAGAACTTGAGGCCCGGGCCTCTCTTGCTCTTTTGAGCAAACTCTCCTAAGCCCCAAAAACCTAAGCCCTAAACCCTAAACAACCTGGCATCAACTGCACCGCAGAGTTGCCGGTATCTTTTTAATAGGATTTCTTTGCGCTGAGGGTTAAGGATTTAGGGCTTCAGGCTCATGTGCGTGTGAAAGAAACAAATCATGTAGTAAAAACAGAACCTAGTAAGTTCCCTTAAAAGGTCCCTCATTTTTGGCATTGGGGGGTGGGGGTCATCATCCCCCAAAAACCTCAAGCTCTAACCCGAAACCCTAAACCCCGAGCTCTAAACCCTAAACCTAAGCCCTAAACCCTAAACCTAAACTCCGAGCTCTAAACCCTAAACCTGAATCCTAAACCCGAAACCCTAGACCCCTAAACCCTAAACCCCTAAACCCGAAGGTTCTGTTGCTTCTACAACCTCACCCCGCTCCTCACCGCTGGCAGCTTGGCGGCACGATTGGGCGCGGAGCTGGGCAGGGCCTGGTTACAGGTTTAGGGTTTAGGGTTAGGGTTCAGGGTTTAGGGTTTAAGGTGCAAGGTTTTAGAGCAGACCAGGTTAGGAGTAAGGCTTGAAGGATAAGGGGTTCAAGGATATAGAAAGCCCCGATCATGGTAACTCTAGGTTGAAGGCACCACCGAAACTGCACCTGCCTCATTTGGGCTTTAAGCGCTGAGGGTTCCTATAGGGGTTTAGGGTTGGTTTCGGGTCTAGGGTGTGAGGCGAAGCTTAGAAGGATCTACGTTGAGGGTTGGGGGTTTGCTGCATATGAAGCTACCGGTACTGTCCCGTACAGTATTTAGAACAGCCTCTGCACAAAGCATGCTAAGCCGTCTTGGTCATGGAAACCTTTTTCATGCCTTGCACATGGTCGTTGTGCTACAGCTACGGTCCGAAGCTGGACCTTCCAACCAGTGCGTCTCAGATGACTTCCCTTGGCTGCTATGCTACTCCAGAACGACCATGCATCTCCGTGTCCGCGTCCATAAGCCCGTGGCGCCTTGCCACGAGTGAAGTGGGCCCTAGGTCCAGGTGGGGGCTCTAGGTCCCCTCGTGGGGTTGGCGTACCAGTCTCCTGTATGTAGGAGCCCAGGGGTGCACTGGCATCGATCTGCTCCAAACCCCCAAAGGCTTTGCCAGAAAAAAGTTCACACAGCAAGCAGCAGGAGACTGGCAAGAGAGCACCCTAGAGCACCCCAGTACTTACTGGTGCTGAAGAGGGAGTGGGGTACATTTTTTGGGGGGTCTGTAAGGTAGGGATAGTTGTCAGAATCCACTCCCCCCACTCCCCAGTAAGCACCAGTAAGATGCGCTTTTGGGGTCTCTTAAGGTCTCAGGTGTTCTTTGGCAGGGTTACCATCACAGGGGGTTTGGGTTCTGGGGTTTAGGAGATCTTGCTGTCTAGCGCCGGGAAGGACAACAGATCATACATGAAGTGCTAGGGTACGGGTAGGAAGTGCTGCAGATGTTCGGCATGTGCAGCGCGCACCGCCACCTCAAAAACCCGGAAGCACCAAGCAGATAGGCAAACACAAGGCCGGTATGTGTCGAACCAGATTCGACCAAACTCTACAGAGGCGCTGCCTGTCACTGCCCAGTGCTTTCGCCACCGGAAAGGCTTCCGGAGGTTGCCCCACGAGCTTAGCGGGGTGGCGCAGTGGGGGCATTGTCTTCTCGCTCTACGCGGGCCTGCGCGCGGACCCTTCACTGGGCTCACTGCCTTGAGAAGCTCTTGGGGGGCCTTTCGACAGGTTGACGTGACCCCGGGCGGAAGTGGAATCACAAGCAGGGTTCAGTAGTTCTGGCACCAGGGGAGCGCCTTCTGAACAGCACCTCTTTTCTCCCGAGAGCAGCCGCAACACACCCGGGCGCTTGTGTGGGAGTTCCCCCTTTCTCTGGCCAAGTACTCCACACAGTTACCCGCCCCCACGCCCACACGGTGAAAAGCTCATGTGGGCAAGACGTGTCACGACCATACCTCAAGGCTGAAAGAGGGGAATTCCTGCCTACTTTGCCTCCACAAAGGCGGCATAATCCCTGTCTTCCCTTCATGCGAATGCCACTTCCAGCTGCAAGCATCTCAACAGAATGTGCTGTTGCCCCATGCGCAGGCGCGCAGCTAATCCTGAAAGATCAGAAGAACGCCTGATACAAACCATGGCGGACGACAGGCAACTGCAGGCAGAGAAACCATTGCAGTCGAGCTAACATGAAGGATCAAAAAAAGCGTGGCATGTCGCTGCAGCTGAAAATAACGCTTCACATTAACACCTCATCTCCTAAGAAGCTGGGATGATCCAACGGGCCCATATGTCACGTTATTAGGGGGGAGAGAAACGTCTTCAAGCCAGGGCCCTAGACCCTAGACCCTAGACCCTAGGCCCTAGAAACCTCTTCAAGCCTGGGGCGTTATTTGAGCTGGGCTTTAAGCCTACAGAATGGATCACCCACCTTCCAGGATCCTACGTACACTCACACCTATCCGAGTCTACCATGTTTGGTCCCGCAGGGCGGAGGTCACCCGAAGCCCCAACCTAAAAGACGCCAGAGATCTAAGAACCCAAAACTTAAACCCACCTCTCGTCACCTCCGCTCCGAGTCGGGCCTGTCTGAATACCAGGGTCCCCCTCTTTCACACCCCCCCAGGTAGCGGGGTGCTCTTGTACCTAGGGCTTCCAAAGGGGTCCCTGATGTTGAGACACTCTATAGACTCCAGAAAGCAGTTGTGCCCTTTTGCCGGTGCGGTTGTAGAACATTCGGAGCTTCCACTGATCTCATCACAGCCTTCGCACCAGGCTCCGCAGTTCTGCTCGGCCACAGGGAACTGAGAGCTGCATCGAAAACCTACGGAGCCCCTGTGGGGGCCTCAATGAGGTCCCCCCCATTTTGTGTAAAGTAGGGGGGGGGGGGGCTCTTGAAGGCTGTTAGAGGGTAGCGGTAGGTTCTTGGGGGCTCCTGCCTCCCATGTAGGCCTGTTGCCAAATCTGGATTTAGGCAAGCTCGCAGGTCCAGCTTGCCGCGACACACGCTGCAGCACTACTGCGCTCGGTGCGGATTCACATCCGACATCCGTGCACAAAGCTACCTGCAAGCCTACCCACTCAACCCTCTATATCTTTGAGACTTGATGTCACGCGAAACGGCCCCTGAGCAAAATCCAAGCGCCAGCTCACATCGTGATGGCCGGATACCCCGCCGGTGGCGGATAGCCAGCGGGGGGCGGGTAGCTCGCTGCAGGCGGAGGATAGCCTGGATAGCCTCAGGCTGACGTGACAAACTCCAAATGGGTCTGAAGCCCAAGCAAAACCCAATAGTCTTCTAACGAGGAGAGTTCCGCAAGATCTTGCGATGGGCAAATTGGTACTTGCCCAAATGGGGGGTTGATTTGAACTAGGCGCCCTTGGGTAGCCTAAGCTATGTCATGAACTAGTCTGTGGCCACAGCACAAGGCCTGCAACAGCGCAGCGGGGACCCCTTCTCCATAGAGGCTGATCTAGTCGATTCTGGGAACCCTTGAAAGCCCCATATCCCCCTAAACCCTGAACCCTGAAGTCACTAAAAGCACACAAGCCCCCCCGACCCCCCCCCCTAAACCCTGAGCCCTAAATAAACCCTAAACCCTAAGCCCGAAACCCGAAACCCGAAACCCTAAACCCTAAACCCAAACCCTAAACCCTAAACTAAACCCCAAACCCCAGCCTCCGTAGACTGGCGGAGGATAGGCGGCTGCCGGCTGCGGCGGGGGGTAACTCTGAGGAGGCGGTGCCTCCAGGGATTCCAGTCGGGCTGAGGGTTTAGGGTTTAGGGTTTGGAGTTTAGGGTTTAGGGCTTAGGGCGTAGGGCTTAGGGTTGAAAAGGTTTGGGCGTTTCGGGAATACGCTTCTACATAGGTGTCCCGATGGAACCTGTTTTTTTACAAATTTTGCGGCCGCTGCATCAGAATACTCAACAAAGATGGAAATACCCTAAAAACCTAAAGGGTTTGGGGTGGGTTGAGGGGTTTAGGGTTTAGGGTTTCGGGTGGGATTGAAACAGCGCCCCCTGCAGTAGGAGGCATGTGGTCTTAATTCATGGTGATGACTGCATCAGTCTAAATCTTAGAGTGTTCCAGCAACCTTGCTTAAGAATTGCAGTTTTGATGGTACCATTGTAAGAATGAGCATCCAATATGGCCTGGACATGCCTGGACCTTGAACCTTGAACCCTAAACCCTAAACCTAAACCAAAACTCCACTAGAAGTCTAGGGTCCATCTCGAAATGAGATCTGTGTGCTTTTTCTGGCAACGCCCCCACCCCGTCACATACCTACATGCTTCCCTGGTGCCCCCCCCCCCCCCCCCCCCCCAAAAAAAAAAAAACAAGAAAAAACAAAAACGCCTGCTGCGGCGGCGGGGCATACTGCGGCTGGTAGTCATACTGCGGCGGAGGCGGGTAGCCTGCGAATTTGGAGGGCCCGTGAGGTTCCAGGGTGGGGGTCCAGAGGGCAAGGGTTTAAGAATCAGGCACTTTTGGGCTTGGCTTTAGGGTTTAGGCTTTAGGGTTT